TCTAGTCTATAGTCTAGTCTATAGTCTAGTCTATAGTCTGGTCTATAGTCTAGTCTATAGTTTAGTGTATAGTCTAGTCTATAGTCTAGTCTATAGCCTAGTCTATAGTCTAGTCTATAGCCTAGTCTATAGTCTGGTCTATAGTCTAGTCTATAGTCTAGTCTATAGTCTAGTCTATAGTCTAGTCTATAGTCTAGTCTATAGTCTAGTCTATAGTCTAGTCTATAGTCTAGTCTATAGTCTAGTCTATAGTCTAGTCTATAGTCTAGTCTATAGTCTAGTCTATAGAATAGTCTATAGCCTAGTCTATAGTCTAGTCTATAGTCTAGTCTATAGTCTAGTCTATAGTCTAGTCTATAGTCTAGTCTATAGTCTAGTCTATAGTCTAGTCTATAGTCTAGTCTATAGCCTAGTCTATAGCCTAGTCTATAGTCTAGTCTATAGTCTAGTCTATAGTCTAGTCTATAGTCTAGTCTATAGTCTAGTCTATAGTCTAGTCTATAGTAAAGTCTATAGTCTAGTCTATAGTCTAGTCTATAGTCTAGTCTATAGTCTAGTCTATAGTCTAGTCTATAGTCTAGTCTATAGTCTAGTCTATAGTCTAGTCTATAGTCTGGTCTATAGTCTAGTCTATAGTTTAGTGTATAGTCTAGTCTATAGTCTAGTCTATAGCCTAGTCTATAGTCTAGTCTATAGCCTAGTCTATAGTCTGGTCTATAGTCTAGTCTATAGTCTAGTCTATAGTCTAGTCTATAGTCTAGTCTATAGTCTAGTCTATAGTCTAGTCTAGTCTAGTCTATAGTCTAGTCTATAGTCTAGTCTATAGTCTAGTCTATAGCCTAGTCTATAGCCTAGTCTATAGTCTAGTCTATAGTCTAGTCTATAGTCTAGTCTATAGTCTAGTCTATAGTCTAGTCTATAGTCTAGTCTATAGTCAAGTCTATAGTCTAGTCTATAGTCTAGTCTACAGTCTAGTCTATAGTCTAGTCTATAGTCTAGTCTATAGTCTAGTCTATAGTCTAGTCTATAGTCTAGTCTACAGTCTAGTCCATAGTCTTGTCTATGGTTTAGTCTATAGTCTAGTCTATGGTCTAGCTTATAGTCTAGTCTATAGTCTAGTCTACAGTCTAGTCTATAGTCTAGTCTATAGTGTAGTCTATAGTCTAGTCTATAGTCTAGTCTATAGTCTAGTCTATAGCGTAGTCTATAGCCTAGTCTATAGTCTAGTCTATAGTCTAGTCTATAGTCTAGTCTATAGTCTAGTCTATAGTCTAGTCTATAGTCTAGTCTATAGTCTAGTCTATAGTCTAGTCTATAGTCAGTCTAGTCTATAATCTAGTCTATAGTCTAGTCTATAATCTAGTCTATAGTCTAGTCTATAGTCTAGTCCATAGTCTAGTCTATAGTCTAGTCTATAGTCTAGTCTATAGTCTAGTCTATAGTCTAGTCTATAGTCTAGTCTATAGTCTAATCTATAGTGTAGTCTATAGTCTAGTCTATAGTATAGTCTATAGGCTAGTCTATAGTCTAGTCTAGAGTCTAGTCTATATTCTATTCTATAGTCTAGACTAAAGTCTCGTCAATAGTCTAGTCTATAGTCTAGTCTACTCCATAGTCTAGTTTGTAGTCTAGGTTATAGTCTAGTCTATAGCCAATCTGCCAAGTCGATAGTCTAGTCTAATCTGCCTAGTCGATAGTCTAGTCTAAATATAGATTAGTCTATCTAGTCGATAGTCTAGTCTGTCTAGTCGATAGTATAGTCAATGGTCTAGTCTGCAGTCTAGTCCAGTCCATAGTCTGTTACACAGTATAGTCTACAGTCTAATCTACGGTTTAGGCTATGGTCTACTCTATAGTTAAGTATATAGTCTAGTCTACAGTTCGGTTCGCAGTCTAGTCTAGTCTATAGTTTAGTCTATAGTTTAGTCTATAGTCTAGTCTACAGTCTTGTCTATAGACTAGTCCACAATATAGTCTATAGTCTAGTCTATAGTCTAGTCTATAGTCTAGTCTATAGTCTGGTCTATAGTCTAGTCTATAGTCTAGTCTATAGTCTAGTCTACAGTCTAGTCCATAGTCTTGTCTATGGTTTAGTCTATAGTCTAGTCTATGGTCTAGCTTATAGTCTAGTCTATAGTCTAGTCTACAGTCTAGTCTATAGTCTAGTCTATAGTGTAGTCTATAGTCTAGTCTATAGTCTAGTCTATAGTCTAGTCTATAGCGTAGTCTATAGCCTAGTCTATAGTCTAGTCTATAGTCTAGTCTATAGTCTAGTCTATAGTCTAGTCTTAGTCTAGTCTATAGTCTAGTCTAGTCTAGTCTATAGTCCAGTCTATAGTCTAGTCTATAATCTAGTCTATAGTCTAGTCTATAATCTAGTCTATAGTCTAGTCTATAGTCTAGTCTATAGTCTAGTCTATAGTCTAGTCTATAGTCTAGTCTATAGTCTAGTCTATAGTCTAGTCTATAGTCTAGTCTATAGTCTAATCTATAGTGTAGTCTATAGTCTAGTCTATAGTATAGTCTATAGGCTAGTCTATAGTCTAGTCTAGAGTCTAGTCTATATTCTATTCTATAGTCTAGACTAAAGTCTCGTCAATAGTCTAGTCTATGGTCTAGTCTACTCCATAGTCTAGTTTGTAGTCTAGTCTATAGTCTAGTCTATAGCCAATCTGCCAAGTCGATAGTCTAGTCTAATCTGCCTAGTCGATAGTCTAGTCTAAATATAGATTAGTCTATCTAGTCGATAGTCTAGTCTGTCTAGTCGATAGTATAGTCAATGGTCTAGTCTGCAGTCTAGTCCAGTCCATAGTCTGTTACACAGTATAGTCTACAGTCTAATCTACGGTTTAGGCTATGGTCTACTCTATAGTTAAGTATATAGTCTAGTCTACAGTTCGGTTCGCAGTCTAGTCTAGTCTATAGTTTAGTCTATAGTTTAGTCTATAGTCTAGTCTACAGTCTTGTCTATAGACTAGTCCACAATATAGTCTATAGTCTAGTTTATAGTCTAGTCTATAGTCTAGTCTATAGTCTAGTCTATAGTCTGGTCTATAGTCTAGGCTATAGTCTAGTCTATAGTCTAGTCTATAGTCTAGTCTATAGTCTAGTCTATAGTCTAGTCTATAGTCTAGTCTATAGTCTAGTCTATAGTCTAGTCTATAGTCTAGTCTATAGTCTAGTCTATAGTCTAATCTATAGTCTAGTCTCTAGTCTAGTCTCTAGTCTAGTCCATTATCTAATCTATAGTCTAGTCTATAGTCTACTGTATATTCTAAAGTCTAGTCTATAGTTTAGTCTATAGTCTAGTCTAGAGTCTATTCTATAGTCTAGGCTATAGTCTAGTCTACATCTAGTCTATAGTTTAGTTTATGGTCTAGTCCACAGTCCAGTCCACAGTTTAGTCTATATTCTAGTCTAAAGTCTAGTACTCAGTTCAATCTAGTCTATAGTCTATTCTAAAGTCTAGTACTCAATCCAATCTAGTCTATAGTCTGGTCTAGTCTACATTCTATCTATTTATTCGATAGTCTAGTCAATGGTCTAGTCTGCAGTCTAGTCTACAGTCCAGTCTATAGTTTACTCTATAGTCTAGTCTACAGTTCAGTCTACAGTCTAGTTCATGGTCTAGTCTGCAGTTTAGTATATAGTTTAGTTTATAGTCTAGTCTGTAGTCTAGTCTACAATCTAGTCCTCAGCTTAGTCTATGGTCTAAAGTCTAGTACGCAGTTCACTCAAGTCTATAGTCTGGTCTAGTCTAGTCTAGTCTACATTTTAGTTTGTAATTAAGTCTATAGTCTAGTTTATAATATATTCTAGTCTATAGTTTAGTCTTTATCCTAGTCTTTATTATAGTCTACAGTCCGTTCTATAGTCTAGTCTACAGACCAGTCATTAGTCTAGTCTATAGTCAAGGCTATGGTCTAGTCTATAGAATATAGACCATAGTCCGGTCTATAATCTAGTCTTTTGTCAAGAATATAGTCGAGTCTGTAGTTTAGTCTAGTCTGTAGTTTAGTCTAGTGACTAGACTATAGACTAGACTCTAGTCTAGTGTATAATTTAGTATATATCCTATAGTATAGTCTAGGCTTTAGTCTACTCTGTTAGTTTAGTCTTTAGGTTGGACTATATATATAATCTAGTATATAGTCTAGTATATAATAAATCTACAGTCTAGTTTGTAGCTAGTTTATAGTCTAGTCTATAGTTTTGTTTATAATTTAGTCCTAAGTGTAGTCTGTTGTATAGTCTTCAGTGTAATATAGAGTCTATTCTATAGTCTAGTCTACAGTCTAGTCTATTCTATTATCTGGTATTTAGTCTATTCTAGAGTGTAGTCTATAATCTACTCTTTAGTCTGTAGTGTAGCGAGTAGCATGTAGACTACTATGTAGTCCAGTCTATAGCCTAATCTGTAGTTTAGTCTATAGTCGACTTTATAGTCCCATTTTTATGCTAGTCTATAGTCTGGTTTGTGGTCTAGTATGTAGTCTAGGCTATAGTTTAATCTGTAATTTAGTCTATAGTCTTGTCTGCAGTCTAGTCTATTATCTAGTGTATTGTCTAGTCTATAGTCTAGTCTATAGCATAGTTTGTAGTATAGTATAGTCTAGTATATTCAACAATCTGTAATTTTGTCCAACGTTTAGGCTATAGTCTAGTCTATAGTCTAGTACATATTGTAGTCTATAATTTAGTCTATAGTCTGGACAATGGTCTAGTCTTATTCTATTCCACAGAATTGACTATAGTATATTTTCGAGTCGTAAGTATGGTCTAACGACTGGTCAATGGGCCATCTGTAGCCTAGTGTGATTGTAATCTGGTGTAGTCTGTAGCATAATCTGTAGAATAGTCTGTTCTGTAGGTTATTCTATAGTATATTCTAAATTCTAATATATAGTATAGCCTATAATCAAGTCTAGTCTAATCGATAGTCCAGTCTGCAGTCTAGTATATGGTCTGGTGTCCAGAAAAAGAATATTTTAAATTCTCACCTAGTTGGAGCATGATAATTGGTATTCTGTGCCCGTCCAGCCAAGAAAGCAAAATGACGCTGATCCAATTTATCCTCAATACAATCCTCCATAATATCCTTAATAACTGGAGTCCAGCGAGACATTTGATAGGTGTGTTCGGTGATACGCTCCTTACGAGGGACATTGTAAGTTTTTTTGCGTGACTAAAGGAAGAACAATAAAACAAATAATTAGACAAAATTAATATCTTCTTAATATAAACGAATACACTTACATCAGCAATAACATTAACACCCAAATGGCTTAAATTGCGTACCATATCTTGATCTTTGGGCGATAGCTGGGCATGCGTAAATAATTTAGTAAGATTTTCCTCAGTAATGCCATTCTTAATCATGACATACAAAGCAATAATGCGTACTTTATCAAAGTTGGAAACGTTCTGGAAAGAAATGAAATATAAAAGGATTTTAATAAAGTTTGATGCGTATAGTCTGGTCTACAGGTAACAGACTGGACTATAATCCGATCTACAGTTCTGTCTATAGACTGAAGTAAAGTTTGGTCTATAATCTGCATAATTGTCTGAGCTATATTTTATTATCTGATCTATAGACGGGAGTATATATTGGAATATAGACGGGACTATAGGCGGAGCTATACATTGGACTATTGGCGGGACTATAGACTTAACTATAGTCTACAATGTTATCTGTTATATGGTCTCGATTATAGTTTATAATCTGATCTTAAGTCTGGACAATAGTCTGGACTATACATTACATTATAGGCTGGACTAATGTTTGAACTGTATTCTAGACAATAGATTTGACTATAGTCTGGAATATATAAGACAATAGATAAGACAATAGATTTAGATCCAAACTATAGTCCTATCTATAGACCTATCTATAGTCCAGACTATAGTCTAGACTATTGTGTTATCTATAGTCCAGACTATAGTGTTATTTATAGTCCAATCTAAAGTCCATACTATAGCGCTGTCTATAGTACATCTATAGTTTGGATTATAGATAACACTATAGTCTGGACTGTAAATAGCACTATAGATTACTGTTGTCTAATCTATAGTCCCTTTTATAGTCTATAATTCGGTGCATAGTCAAAACTATAGACTGGACTATAGAGTAGACTATAACCTGACTATAGAATGAATGTTAGTCTGAACTATAAATTGAACTTTAGCCCTGACTATAATCTGGATTGTTGTCTGAACAGTAGTTTGGACTACAGTTTGAATTATAGTCCTCTATACAGTTTAGTTTAAGCTTATAATGGAACTTAAAATGAAACACTTACAGTATCAAGTAAAATGGGAACAATGCTGCGCATATGATCCTTGATCTTTTCACCTTCAGCATCGGTGCCCATGGCCAAATCCTGTTCCACGCGGCAAAGTTTATCCACATAATTCTAAATAAGAAAAAAATACATTAATAATTTAAACATGAAAGTCTCGGCGCATTCTCCAAATGATCTTACCTGATAAGACTTCATACAATCTTCAGCCAAATGCAAATGAGTGGAATATTTGGAGAGTTCCTTTTGATATTGTGGCATTTTCTTAATCATTTGCGATAAATCACGCATGGAGGCCTTGTCGGCTATATACAGCAACAAAAATAACAAATTAATATCACAATCAACAAGAGTTTAAAGATTTTAAATTCATATTTAAAATAAAATTGAATATAAATACAATTTAAAGTTTGTGTAAAGACACTTGCTCAGCAGCACAACAACAACTTACTAGAAGACATTCTCTTTGAATCGGTAAATTTCTTAAGATTCTGTGTAACCTGTGTCGATACGACGGCAATATGTTCGTGACGCAACTCCACCCACAGATCATCGTTCTCGTCGAGCAGTACTTCTTTTTCGGGCTGATTGGGACCCGGTGTAAAACGATAGACATCATTGGTGATGGGCAATAGATCGTAGGCCATCGCTTGTAGGGTTAACTCGTGTAAGAGTGGTGATACGCAATCAAAACCACGATCCAAAATCAATAATTGTGAACGTGCCTTCTCGGAACCCTCGCCCATCGTTGGCTCGTCAGCCTTGTACGCATCCAGTTTTTGCTGAACGACAGCAGCTAAATCGATGTTGCGATCCCAATCAGTGCGATATCGCACCATCGGATACTCGCCGAGCGTAGCACACAAGGTGGCAATTTGCTCGGCAATGCGCTCGATGTGTTTGGCGCGTATCGAAGCGAATGCCGGAGAGTACAAACACTGAAAACTGTCTGGCGAATCGAGCGAGTAGACCTAAGAGAAGCACATTTTTTTTTTGATTTGATTTATATATTGATTCATTGATTGATTATTGGTTTTTGTTAGTTTTTAACACATATTTATATATTTAGAGGCAGATAGAGATAGTTATAGTGGGTGGTTGGTTGGTGGTAGTAGTAGTTATTAGTAGTGGTGTTGTTGGTGGTTATTAGTAGTTGAAATATTTGGTGCATTTTATTTATTTGTGGCCGATTTTTTATTTTTGGAAAAATTTTTGATTGCGGTGCAGGTTTGTTGATTATTTTTTTATTGATAGAGTTGGTAGTTTTAAGAGTTTCAAAAAAGATTTCAAAAAAACAAAACGTGCGTGATGGTGCAAAGTTGTAGAGGCGGGAATTTTAAATTAGTTTTTATTGTGGAAAAGATAAATATGAAAATTTTTTTTTATTAAATTAAAATTTGTTTAAAATATTTTTAAGATTATTTGTAAGTGTTGAAATATAAGACACTTTTTCACAAATATTTATTAGATTTTAAAAATAAAAGCTTTTCAAAATAGTTTAATAGAAAACAACACAGTTTTAAAAATACATGAAAAGCATGAATAAAAGTTTAATGAATAAATGAGAAAATTGTTTCAAAGCAAGGGGCACAATAGACTAAACTATAGTCCAGACAGTAAAAAAAACTATAGTCCAGCCTATAGACTAAACTATAGACCAGACTATGTAGTAAAGTCTTTGTCTCCTGACTATAGACCAGACTATGGACTTAATTATTGTCCAGAGAATAGACTTAACCATAGTCCGATCTATACACTAAATAATAGTCCAGTCTATAGACTAAACTATAATCCAGATTACAGACTAACTACATATAGTACAGACTATAGACTAAACTATAGTCCGTAATAAAGGTTAAACTATAGTCTAACTATAGTCCATACTATACACTTAACCATAGTCCAGAATAGACTAAACTGTAATCCAGACTGACTTTTAGTCTATAGCCTGGACTTTAGTTCACTCTATAGTCTAGTCTGGGCTATAGTTTAGTCTATAGTCTGCACTATAGTTTAGTCTATAGTCTGGACTATAGTTTAGTCTATAGTATGGACTATAGTTTAGTCTATAGTCTGGACTATAGTTTAGTCTATAGTCTGTTCTATAGTTTAGTCTATAGTCTGGACTACAGTTAAGTCTATAGTCTGGACCATAGAAAAGGTATACATAGAACTGAAACTGAGTATGACAAAACCTAAGTCTGCTGTCAAAAACCTAAGTCGTGAGAATGTATTAGTTGACCAATGTAAGAAAGATCTTCATTAAAAATTATTTTTAATTTTAAATAAACTCTTTGTGGTTGCTGGGTTGACTCAATATTGACACTTGAAAATAATATTAAAAAATAAAAACGATTGAAAAATTTGTTTTTTTTTTCTGAAAATGTTTTCAATAATTTTATGGGAAAACATAACTTTTAGCAGTGTTTATTGCAGCAGCAGGGGCTATTTTGCCAAAGGAATTGTGCTAATGCTAAAATTAACGCTTGATATGAACGATTATTGTTAATTTCAAAGCAGCCCAAATGCAGTCAAAATACACCCTACACCACACTAATGGGAACGGTATTTTGTTTACGTCTTAAAGTTTGTAACACCTGCGTCGATGTAATGATGTAATCCGCCCATAAATTAGCCTATTGAACTTTTTTGTAAGCGGTACATGCTATACAAGAATAGAGTATTTATAAAATTCGACTCAACAAATTTTATATATACGAAATTTTGACTATATATTGTTATAATGAGTAGTACATTCATTAATTAAGCAAACATCAATCTCTTGAATATAACTTCTACATTAAAAAATACTAAAGAACTTATTGCTACTTACTCGCAATGTGGTAGGGTATGGTGTATTCGGATACATTTTGTACTTTCATATTTTTGTTATTTTATGTAAACAAAAATAAAAATACTCATACAATTGTATTAAATTCACACAGAACCTGTACATGTGAGAGAGTAATATTTCTTATTCTCAGTTTCAGTTCTATTTATTTTTCTATGGTCTGGACTATAGTATAGTTTATAATCTGGATTATAGTTTAGTCTATAGTCTGGACTATAGTTTAGTCAATAGTCTGGACTATAGTTTAGTCTATAGTCTGGACTACAGTTAAGTCTCTAGTCTGGACTATAGTTTAGTCTATAGTCTAAACTATAGTTTAGTCTATAGTCTGTACTATAGTTTATGCTATAGTCTGGACTACAGTTAAGTCTATAGTCTGGACTATAGTATAGTTTATAGTCTGGATTATAGTTTAGTCTATAGTCTGGACTATAGTTTAGTCTATAGTCTGGACTATAGTTGAGTCTATAGTCTGGACTACAGTTAAGTCTATAGTCTGGACTATAGTTTAGTCTATAGTCTAAACTATAGTTTAGTCTACAGTCTGGACTGGCCTATAGTTTAGTCTACAGTCTGGACTGGCCTATAGTTCAGACTATAGTCTGGACTATAGTTTAGTCTATTTTAGTCTATAGTCGGGACTATAGCTTAGTCTATAGTTTGGACTATAGTTTAGTCTATAGTCTGGACTATAGTTTAGTCTATAGTCTGGACTATAGTTTAGTCTATAGTCTGGTCTACAGTTCAGTATATAGTCATGACTATAGTTCAGACTATAGTCTGGACTATAGTTTAGTCTATTTTAGTCTATAGTCTGGACTATAGTTTAGTCTATAGTTTGGACTATAGTTTATTCTATAGTCTGGACTACATTTTAGTCTATAGTCTGGACTATAGTTTAGTCTATAGTCTAGACTTAAGTTTAGTCTATAGTCTAGACTATAGTTTAGGCTATAGTCTGGAATATAGTTTAGTCTATAGTCTAGACTATAGTTTAGTCTATGGTCTGGACTATAATTTAGTCTACAGTCTAGACTATTGTTTAGTTTTAGACTATAGTTTAGTCTATAGTCTGGAATATAGTTTAGTCTATAGTCTAGACTATAGTTTAGTCTATGGTCTGGACTATAATTTAGTCTACAGTCTAGACTATTGTTTAGTATATAGTCTGGACTATATACTAGTCCATAGTCTGGACTACAGTTTAGTCTATAATCTAGACTATAGTTTAGTCTTTAGTCTAGACTATAGATTAGTCTACAATCTAGACTACAGTTTAGTCTTTAGTCTAGACTATAGTCTGGACAATAGTCTGAACTATAGTTTGGTCTACAGTCAGGACTATAGTTTATAATTTGGTCTCTACTTCAGTATATAGTTTTGACTATAGCTCAGTCTATATGCCGATTTTTAGTCATTATTGATATTATACATAGTTTATAGCCTCAATTCTGAAATTCTATTTTATTAAAAAAACAGAAATATTCTAAATTAAAACTATTTATCATCAATATCGATTTCTTTTCACAATAAACATTTCTAACAATCATTCTAAAAGCAATTTAAAAATGTTATTCTATTTGTTCTTCTCTTTTTTTCTTCTCTCTAACAATAAGACGTAAAATTCTATAGAAAGCAATAGAAATAACGAAAGAATAAAAAAAGTATTACAAACAATTCAATTATCAAGCATATTCTCGACCATTGCAACAAAAATAGTATTCAATTAAATTTAAATGTTAAGAATACATAGAACAGAAAAAGAAATTTGTATTACTCATACCAACCTAAATGTTATTTACACTAATAAATGAATGTCTTGTTAATAATAAAGTTAAAAAAGTACACAGTTATTGTGTATTTTTAAAAACTGTGTTGTTTCAGGCCATAAATAAATAAAAAGCGTAATAATAATTGCCAACAAAAGCCGTTTAATAATAATAAAAAAAGTGTCTGAAATATATACACAACATTAAATGCAATAAATTCTAGTTAATTCTTAATATAAGCACCAATACCGTGAAAAATACATGAGTCTATGACAAGCTAAAACATGCATTTTATTTTTTAATTTACTTTATAGTCTATTTTTAGGGTTTTAGGTGGGTGTTTTGGTTAGTTAGTTAAAATGACGTTTATGTGTATGTGTTTTTATAGAAATTAGTTATTTATGATACAAAAACAATTCTAGTGTTCTTTGTGATAGTGATCATTTTTTATTATTAGATATTGTGGAAAAAAACTTTTTCAATGAAATACACTTTTAAAAGCATAATAACGCAATAGGCTAAAGTTCAGACTATAGAGCTAAATATAGGCTATAGTCCAGACTATAGACTAAACAGTAGTCCAGGCTATACACTCAACTGTAGTAAAGTATATAGATTAAACTAATGTCAAGAATATAGACTATATTTCAGACTATGTACTAACCCACATTCCCGCAAATAGACCAAACTATAGTCCACACTAAAACCCAGAATATAGGTTAAACTGTAGTCCAAGATAAGGAGTAAACTATAGTCAACACCATAGACTAAACTATAGTCCAGACCATAGACTAATCTTTAGTCAAGAATATAGTCTAAACTATTGTTCAGAATATAGAATAAACAACATCCAGACTATAGACTAAACTGTAGTCCACATATTAGACTAAACTATAGTTTAAACAATAATCCAGACTATAGACTAAACTATAGTCTATATTAAAAATTATACTATAGTATGGAATATAGACTATAGTCCAGACTATTGAATAAACTATAACACAGAATATACAACATACTATAGTCCAGACACTAAACTATACTCTAGAATATAGACTATAATATAGTCCATACTATAGACTTAATTAGACATGTAGTCCCAGCTATAGACTGAACTATAGTAAAGACTATAATCTAAACTATAGTTCAGAATATAGACCTAACTAAAATCCAGACTGTAGTCCAGACTATAGACTAAAATATAGTCTAGAATATGGATAATGCTATAGAATTGTCTACAGTCTGGACTATAGAATAGTCTATAGTTGGACTATAGAATAGTCTACAGTCTGGACTGTAGAATAGTCTACAGTCTGTACTATAGAATAGTCTATAGTCTGACAATAGAATA